CCATCTCTCACTCTTTAGAATAGATCGAACTTTCTTCATGACATCATTCACAGTGGCCTCTCACCATGGCAACTAAACACCCCAAACACGAAAGCTCTAAAATATCACTTAATCAATACTCAAATGTCATCAGTATTGTCTTTCTCTTAGTGCTGCAGGCAGAGCCACTTAAAAAAAATCACTCTGTGTCCAGAATCATATAAATCTCCTGGTTTATGCCTTTAGGTGGTCCAAGTAGTCCCAGAAAAGAATCAACTCTCTACTATTCACCATAAACTCCATCCTATGGAAACCATATGTCCAATAACCACTCTTCATCTTCCTCTAGTTGAAACGTCCACTTCCTTAATCTTCCAACGACATCCCCAATCACCCCCCCCCCAAATCCCCTCAGGACCCATGATATTTTGAAGTCTCCTATCAACTATGCCCTCATCTTCAAAGACCCACTGAAAGCCCTGCCTACCCCTCATTAAAGGGTAAACCCTCCCATTGCAGAGTCATCCCTATGTAAATAAACAGTCAGGCTTGGGCATTCCTACAGTTTCTCCAACTGAACTACAGTTTTTTGCAATACAACCTCTTTTAAAATTGCTATCTAGTTATTTCACCACTATTGGCTTCATTTACTTTTTTTTAAAAAAATGTTTTATTTGGGGAAAATATTGATTTTAAATAAGACAGGCAAGGATGCTCGTCTGTTTTATAATTCACTTGTCATGTATTTGTAAATTATTTTATCTATAGGGAAATAAAAGGCCAAATGGGAATTTTGGGGGGAAAAAAGGTAGAGGCAAGTGGGAGAAAGAGAGAAAGAAGGAAGATCTGTTCATGTTTATTTTAAGATTTGCTACAAGCTGTTTCATGGGCTTGGATGAAGACGGGGGCTTCACCTTGTGCAGCCTGGACCTCTTGCCAGTGCTGAGGGAGGAGCGACAGGAGCTTGGCCCTGCTACTGATGCTACACCACAGCCACAGGATCCCCAAAGACTGATACAACAAAATATCCACTTAAGCACTTTGCTTTTTCCCCTTCCATTTAGGGAAAGGGTTTAATGTAGTTTATTTTGTATCACAGTCCTGTTATATCCCCCCCACCCCCCGCCACACACACACACACACGCACTGAGCTGTAAGATTGTGTTAAAGCCAGGCGCAGCCAGAGACAGGACAGATGAGAAGAATGTGCAGGCGCCCAGAAAGTGGTTTCCTAGCAACAGTAACTAGTTCAAAGATTTCCTAACTCTTGTGTAGTTTGCATTTCCATAGCAATGTGGAGAATAGTAAATAGTAAGTGTCCTTATGTGCTTAATGCAAATGAACTCTAATCAAGAAATGACTGATCGATAAAGGAAAGCATCTGTATTTGTTCTATTAGATTCTGTCTCATTAGGTAGCATAAGAATCAGCCTGAGGTCTAGGCTTCGTTACTGAAAGTAAATAAATCAGATGGTTTAATTTTTTAAAAAAATTCTTATTGCCTCTTTGTTTTCTCTCTGTCAGAAGCATCTACCAAAGCAATTTAAAAGGAAAGGTGCTGCCTGGGCTGGCGTGGCTCAGTTGGTTGGAGCATTCGGTTTCTGGTCAGGGTACAACAGATGGGTCTCTCTCTCACATCAATGTCTCTGTTTCCTCTCTCCCCCTTCTCTCCTCTCTGAAATCAGTACAGCATACCCTTGGGTGAGGATTAAAAACAAACGAATACATAAAATAAAAGAGAAAGGTGCTCCAGAAGAAGAAACTGTATTTTCAAGTATACGCATTTTATGAAATGTAATTATTAAGATGTCAGCTCTGGAGGTCACACAAGTTGTTATGCAAATACTCAATTTGCTTTTTTTAAAAAAGTGGAATATAATTGAGTTCACAGTACAAGAGTGATTCCTGCCTTCCCTCCCGACTTGAAATAATTTTGGTTATAAAATTGGGCCCACTAAAAGCAAAGGCACTTTTAAAATAAATTAAGACCCATCTACATCACATTTGAAATGGCACAGTTATAGTATTTCATTTCTTTTCTCCTTCTTAAACTGCAAGACTATATTCCTCCCCTGTGTACACCCACCTCCTTCACAGGAAGATTGCAAAAGTAAATATGGGTAAAACCTTTTGAATTCTTATTGGAACAACCATTAAAGACTAACAACCACCAAATTATGTTAGTGTGTGTCAAAACTACATAGAAATATGCATATATGTTATTCACTCTACAAGTTGAAAAATATTTTCTATATTGCTTATACACTTTTAAGAAAGAAAAAGCCATGCAAACTATCTTGAATTACTATGAAGAAAAAAATTTAAAGTAAAAAAAATCAGTAGAAACAGTACTGTATGCCCAGGGTCTTCTACAGGATTATCAGGTACATTAATAGACAGGAGTCATTGCTCAATATGTTACAGGAAGGTAAGTATTTGGTCCACTTGCTTTGGTGTATTTTTGTGGACTGCTTTGCTCACAGGAAACATTGAGGATGTGGGAAGATGCAATGATTCTCCTAGGCTGAAGTTAGTGTTAGGGCAGTGTAATCACGGGTGATATGAGATAGACCCACTGCAAGTGTCAGGCCAAATACCTTCAGAAGGCCCTAAGACTTCTGTGAGCCCAATGAGATCTTGTCATGACGACGTCCTTGGAACTGACAGAATCTAAAGAGTGACATCCATTTGGTTTTTCAGTAACTACTTCCTCTGAGGAATTCTGAAGGAGACTTGCCTTATCACTGACATCTACTCTGTGTATTCACAGGAATGTCACAGGGTGCTTTTAGGGTCAATGTGAGATTATTGGATATGCAATTATTTATTTCATGTTGGAATGAAAGCAAGTTATGACACTCTGCTATTAACTTAGCAGCTATAAAATTAGTCAATTTGAACTAATTATTGTAAATGCAACAATGGGGCCAATAGCCATATTTTTATTCCCCATTAATATGGAAAACGTATTTACAGACACCTACTTTAGCAGAAGCATTTTTATATGACCTAATTTAATTATCCTTAAATCATGTTTTCACAGTTATTAGTCCAATTAGCAAGTATAAAAAAGTTGATGAAAATGAATTTTTGTGCCAAATACTTTTCTTCATGTAAGCAGCAAAAATTTGTTAATAAGCCATCAAAATACCTGTCACTTTAAAACCTAATATTTTAATAATAGCCTAAGGCTATCTAGAAAGCTTATTTCTGAAGAAAAAGAGAGACTGACTTAGAGATGGGACACTTTTTTTCCTTTTAACACCTAAAGTATTAATATCTTCTGAAAATTGCATGTAGAAATATCATGTGTCTTACTTAAAACCTATATTGTTCATCCTTAATCGTCAAACATGCATATCATGTGTCTACTCAGAACAATTTTGTTACATAAACATATTAGAGATAATATTAATACAAAGGACCTGTCTGCCAGTTATAATTGGAGAACAACAGAGCCCTAAATTATTCAATTTCCTTTTATTTTTTTAAAACTTTAAAAAATATGTTTTCAATGATTTTTTTAGAGAGGGAGGAAGGGAGAGGGAGAGAAAGATAGAAACATTGATGAGAAACATCAACATCAATCTGCTGCCTCCTGCATGCCCTCTATGGGGTCTGAAACCTGGGCATGTGCCCTGATCCGGAATCAAAACTGGTGACCTCTTGTTGCATGGGTCAATGCTCAACCACTTAGCCACAATGGCCAGGCCATACTTTTAATTTTAATGGTATAGACATTATGTCTTGACTATTGGGATCTACTACTTAGACAGCCATAAATTCAAACCTGGCCCAGGACAGTTATATAAGGAAAAATAGTATTAAAAGTAATATACACAAGTTTGTAATACCACCCACCCTTCTTCAAATCTCCTGGACTTATAATCCTTTCCGGTGAAGTTCCTCTGTTACTTCCTCTCAGATTCACTGTGAGGTAGAAATTAGCTAAATAAAATTTTAGCTATTTAATATTTCTTAAATATATTTTTATTGATTTCAGAGAGGAAAAGAGAGGGAGAGAGAACAACTCAAGGCTGAAACCAATCATTGTTCTGGATGGTTTTGGTGCAAGTTAGTGTCTCAACTTTGAAGGACCACTTCTTTCCCTCACAATAACCTCAATCACATCCTGGAGAAATGCTATAATTATTGATCTACAATTCTTGGGAACAATAACTGCCTACTAGGCTCTACGTGCACTTTTTTTTTTTGTATTTTCTGAGTATAAGCATCCACATCAAAATCATTCATCTTTAGTAACCTTATCCTCAACTTAGTATAGAAACCAAAGAACTGTCCATTAATATTTAACATTTCCATCTAAAAATAAATTAGTTAAGTATGAGGACTGGGGATATGCTGTATATAGATGCACAAGTTGGGGAATGGGTTGAAGAAATATTAATGCATTGTGTTTACAAACTATACCTTTTACAAATAGGACACCTTACTCTAATATCCACCAGTTTTTCTAATAGACTTATCTATACCTATGACTCCATCACAGCTTCTCTGGCATCTACCTTCGCTGGTTCTTGGCAGCTCTGGTTGTGTTTCCCATGCATCGTCACATCTGTTTCAACCCATCATTCTCAGAGTCCAAGGAGCCCTCTTGAATTTTGCCTCAAAACTTCACTTTTGGCTTTGACTCCCAAATGACTGTCTTTAGAGAAGACGAGCTTTAATCTGAAGATCAAGATACTAAAATAAAAGATGTTGCCTAACCAGCATGGCTCAGTGGTTGAGCGTCGACCTATGAACTGCGAGGTCATGGTTCCATTCCTGGTCAGGGCACACGCCTGGGTTGTGGGTTCAGTCCCCAGTGTGGGGCATGTAGGAGGCAGCTGATTAATGATTCTCTCTCATCACTAATGTTTCCATCTCTCTCTCCCTCTCCCTTCCTCTCTGAAATCAATAAAAATATATCTTAAAATAAATAAATAAATAAAAGATGTTTGTCAACAAGGAAAATACTCTTTTAAGCATCATTTATCTCTCACAAGGATTACATTTCTCACCTCTCTCCGAAGAATACAGTGGACCATGACGATCACAAAGCCTTGCAATGAATCAAATACGGCAAAAAGTATTTGGAACAATATGGAGCGTTTGTCCGTCATGGCCAGAACTGCAGACATCCACGTCAGAGCCAGCAGGGGCAACACCACACAGGAGCTCCAAAGAGATGCCCTGTTGAGACAGAGAAAGCCGCATCACACAGCTGCAGGTCACATGCCAGGCAATAACCAAACCCCCATTCCACAAAGCATTCTTTTATGTGGCACCAAGGCCATTAACTTGGAAACCACAAAGCAGATAAACATTTGATAGTTTTATTTTTTATAGACAATCCCACAATAGTTATAAAGGCAGTTGCCAATTATAAATATTTAAGTATGCTCTTAGCACTAATATTAGCAAATATTTTTTTTCCATCATAGCATTTTCTCACATGCACTGTAAAAGATTTGTAACAAGAAGATGTAAATGATTGGGACTAACATGGCGTTACTGGCGGTGGTGGCTGACAAAGCTGTTGTTGAAACTACTCCACACTTGGCACATTTGAGCGTCAAACCGCTATGAGGCTCACTCATCTGACTGCAAACAAACAGAACACCCACAAAAAGAACAAAATATTGAATTGTCACCAAAAAAATTGTTGCTGCTGTAAGTTAGCTTTTAAATACGATTTCATGCAGAAAAGTATATTTATCAAGAATGAATGTTCTAGGTTGTTTTAAAGGTGCATTTATACTACACATTATTTTTGTAACATTTACCTTTTAATATTTTGGGCCTTTGTTGCATGCGAAGCACATTTCCATCATTTACACCATAAATGGCTCTTGTGTCTACAGACCAAAGTTGCCCAATACATTGAGTTAAACATAAGTAGATGTTCGAATAGACATACAGTGAGAACCCTTTATTCAGACCCCTGGTAAACAAGTAAGGACTCCCAGCTTCAAATATTTTCACTGTCATTTGCAAAAGGCACATAATATCAATGAAAAGCTTTTGATATATAAATATGTATCTCAGAAGTCCAATATAGGAAGATATTTATTTTAGGTCTTTAGTCATGTGTGGAAAGAATAGCCTTTGTCTCAAAATATTTATATTTTGAAATGTCTTATAGCATCAATGTATTGTCTATACTTTAGGATATAGGGGCTGAATATAGGGGCTGATGAAATTTGATGACATATTAGTTGATCATAAAAAGCGTGATAGCGTTCTGCTCTAATAACTTGATAGCGTTCTGCTCTAATAACACACATTGAACATAATCATTAGATTTAAAAATATTATTTTATTAAGTTCAAAATACCCTTTCTGAGCATTTTGTCATAGGCACCATCTAATAGCATTTGTGTGGTCTCTTCTAGTCTAGAAAATTTTGCAGGTAAATTTGGATTCAGATAATTCAAGTTCAATCTACTATATCACAGAAGAAAGTCACTACATAGAAAAACTTTATACGTTCTTTGTTTTAGAAAAGAGTCCTTGAAAAATGAGTGGTTTATTAGAACATATTCCTCTCAGGAAAAAAAAACCAAAAAGATATTTCTTGAATCAAAATTCAAAATACTTTGAAATAATTTTCTGTGGTATATTTCTCTTATCCATCCCCATGTGGTGTTTATGTCTAAAATATAAGTTTGCCCAGTAGGTTTTTCTTCTTAATAATTTTATAGTGGACTTACATTACTTGTGTATAATAAAGGCAGAACAGAGAAAAATCCTAAGAGGCTCATAATTCAGAATGTCTGGTATCTTTTAAAGAAGTGCATTCATTTGTGAATAGTGCTTACATGGGATAATAAATCTGAAAGCTATTAAGTAAGTAAATTGATCTTTAGACCCCATGAGAAAAATCAAAGCTTTCAGAGTTAGATGTGGGGGTGGGGAATATAATACTAAATCATTCCCTTTACTGATTCAACCCAGAACATCCGTATCAGCCACATCTCTTTAAAGTTTTCAAAATAATAGGTAACCAATAGTCTTTCCACTGTGGTTCATGAGTGTCTCAATGGGTAGGCCAATATGTTTGAAATTACTCCCAAATGAGTACCTACATCAGTATTCTCCATAGCGGCTGAATATTATATGTATGTATCCAACTCCAAAACTCTAATGGGACCCAGGCATCAGTCTTTTTTTAAATTAAAAATATATTTTTTTCTTAATCCTCACCCACCCCAGGATATGTTTATTGATTTGAAGGAGAGGGAGAAGGAGGGAGGGAGGGAGGGAGCGAAGGAAGGAGAGAAACATCAATCAGTGAATCTGCAACCTAGGTATTTACCCTAACCAGGAATCAAACCTGCAACCTTTTTGGTGTACAGGATGATGCTCCAACTAACTGAGTCACCTGACCAGGGCAGCATCAACATCTTTTAAAGTTGCACAGATTATTCTGATGAACAAATAAGAATAAAAACCTCACACTTCAGAAGGAAAGCAGGGGAGACTGGGTGTGGGATGGCTGGGGGTAAGAGATCAACCAAAGAACTTGTATGCATGTAAGTATAACCAATGGACACAGACAATGCAGGGGTGAAGATATGGGCTAGGGGGTGGGGGCAGGCTGGGAGAAGACAATGGGGGGGGGGGGAGACATATGTAATACTTTAAACAATAAAGGATTAAAAATTAAAATTAAAAAAGCAAAATATAAAAAAGGATAAAAACCACTGCCCTATTTATTTGAGGGTCTTCAATCTTGTTACATCCCACTAGATTAATATTAAAAGGCATGCCTTAGTCATTTATTGTTTTCTTTATCACAGAAGATAGGCTATTTGGTGTTTGTGCTTCAAACATGATCATGGCTATCATTCTCAACTTTAAGGATGCCATGCCTCTATACTCTGAACTAAGATTGAAAATTTAAGATTACTAAAAATAATTTCAGTAAACAATATAAGTATTTTAGCCCTGATAAAAAGGGAATTTGAATAAGTATGGTCTTTTCTAAAAATTTATTTTAAGACAAGTATTTAAAATACTCATTTCTCTTTATTTGAGACTGGCTAAAAGGTCTACACATACTTTCCTTAGTCAGAGCTAACTGTTGAAACTATGCTTGACATTAAATGGTTGGACACCTTTAGAATACTATTATTAGATATGAATGGAGATGAAGACAGATAGATTTCCTAGAGAGATCTAATGTTTTTTCCTAGTTTGCATAGCCGCTATGGAGATTAATGTGTTATGAAGAACACATAGTCTAGATGCTAAATTGAGTGGCTGCAATGAAAAATAAAATCTCATTTCTTTGTTATAAGGGAAATTATGCATTTATCAAACAAAAGTGCAAACAATTAAAAGAACAACTGAATTTCCTGTAAGTTCTGGTAAAACCAGTATCTACTCAAGCACCAGAGTCTGAACATAATCATTGCACTGCTCTCTCGGGTTGTTCTGTCTAGTCCAGGGGCATCTTGAAGTCTCCAAGTTCTAGTTCCTTATGCAAATTTCTTTACCTTAGAAAAAATTTTTATCTTATTGGTTTATTAAGACTATAAAAAATTCCCTGGAAGAAAATATGCTTCTGCTCTTTGGAAAAGTCTTATGAGATTTGTATGAGGTCCTGGTACAGTAGTCCCCTTAATTTCAGGTAGGCAAGTAAAGCAGTTTAAAGTACATAGTAGATAAGGAAGTTACACTGCAGCAAAAAAAAAGAAAAAGAAAAAGAAAAAATGAAGTATTCTCTTTGAGCAGTTCTGAAAAGACACCTGTCATTTTATATTTTATCTTGCTTTCATTATTTCTATTTATTATTTTATATAAGATGTGTTGATATTTGAAATAAATACCCTTGGTAAATATATTTTATGTATTAGAAACATTTAATATAATTTGGATATTATAAAACTTGTAAGCTATTGTATTATTTATTACATAGTCATTCACTCATGTTTTATTTACTTTTACTTTTTAAAAATATATTTTTATTAATTTCAGAGAGGAAGGGAGAAGGAGAGATAGAAACATCAATGATGAGAATCATCAATTGGCTGCCTCCTGCACACCCCCTACTGGGGATTCAGCCCACAATTCAGGATGTGCCCTTGACCAGAATCAAACCTGGGACCCTTCGGTTTGCAGGCTGATGCTATCCACTGAGCAAAACCAGCTAGGACTGTTTTAAATACTTACTGGACATAAACTATATTCTTGGTGGTTTCTAATAACTGATCATAAAAAGAAGGGGACAAAGAAATAGAAAAAAATGGGAGGAGAAATTGATTCAAAATAAATGCTTAATATATATGTATATTCAAACAACCCAAAATGGTCAATATTTACAATTAGGAAGATCAATTGTTAAGTTAATCAATTAGCTGCCTGCTCAATGTTTCTTTAGTTAATTCTGATTATTTGTTCCTCATTGAAGTCTTTATTATTGCCCTCAGAGCTTTCTCTGTGAAGTAAAATTAGCTTCAAATACTCCTATGTTCTAAACAGTTCTTTGAATCACACTTTGGAACAGAGAACAACTGTCAATCTATGTATACTTAAACTAAAACAGCACTTCATATTACAGATGAAAACAATTTTAAACCTGGAGTCATTAATTTGTTAATAGTTTTTTTCTGCTGTGGACAGTAAGTAGTATTCTGCTTTTAATACCATTTCTATTTCTCCAGCCGTGGCTTTGCACCAGAAAAACACTGCTTGACTCAGTTTTATCAGGAAAACACATGTAAGTTCGTGATGTGACAATGTTGTCATTTCTCCTAAACCTATGTTATCCCTTACGAAGAACTATGTGAATCAAACCAGATATTGCATATAAAGTAATTAAATGAGGAAAATACTGACTGAAATTTAATATACTCTTACCATTATACTCATCCTAATGATCTCATCTTTTTCTTTTGTTTGGTTTATTATTTTATTTTTTCCATCACTATTTATCCCTGTATGTCCTCTTCCACCTTTATCTCTTTTTCTGGCCCCAATATCATGAATGGTGGGATCATGGAAGTGTGACTGATGTAACTCAGATGTTTGAAAACAACCTGCCCAGCTTGGCGTCCTCATGCCATTCGCCATAGCAGTAGCTACCATTTGTTGAGAGAGAGCTTCCTACTTGCTAGATACTCCAATGAATGCTTTATACACATTATATTCATATGCTCTAGTATGAGGCAAGGGCCACTTTATAGGTGAGAAGACTGTGGCAGGAAGCGTAGTAAGTAACATGCCCAAAGACACACAACTAGTAGATTGCAGAGCTAGAGCTAGGTACTGAACATGATTGTTGTTTTTTTACTTCAAAGTTTTATCCTAATCACTAACTTCCCTACCCCCGCAATTAAAAAATAATTATACAAGTTTATACCAGTAGTGGCAGAACTGAGTTCCTATACCCAGTACTCAGTATGATTGATTTATTCTTACACCATTAATCTAGACAGAAATAACTGGAGATGCAATTGCTCCAATTCCAACTGTGGCAGACTAACAAGAGTAATAATGTGAAAGCTCCAAGTTCAAATGGTATAGAAAGCTCAGTGTCTGTACAAGTTCAAGTCTGCCTATTTAAAGATGCCACGGAGACTCGTCTGAAGTGAACAAAACGTCTCTAAGAGGGAAGAGATTCCCCCTCAGAAAGGAATCTCTAATGGTGTTTTTATTACACCACTGAAGTTCTGATATCAGATTTTTATACTGAAAACCATTAAACCTATTCTTTTACTAGAGGGAAAATGCCTGAACTGTCTTATAAATCATCACACAGATTGTAAAAACACAAAGGACCTAAAATTCTCACCAGTTGTTCATCAAATACTATGACTATTAAATAATATCATGAATTATTAAAGAAATCAGAACAATTGCAGGGTAAATTTTGAATAAAGGTATAAATAGCAAGGCGAAAGCTATAAACTATAAAAGATACAAAAGGAAATTTAAAGTCATTCATATTTCATTTAGGCTTTTACAAATTTTTATGATGCATTTATACTATAACCCTAAAAAGCTTCTATCAATCTGTTTATAAAATGTCATTGTCATTAGATATGGTGATAGTACAATAACAATAAAATGCTTTTCTAAATTTTATAAATGGTTAAAATGTGCAAGTGAAAATTACAAATCTCTTTCCAGGAAGTTATCATCAAAATGTCATATAGAATGAGAACAATGTTTCATAAATGGTTATTTCAAAAAATGTTCTGATATATATAATTAATCAAAGAAAATGCACTATTTCACCCTGCTAAGATTTGCTTGTCCCAATTGCATTGTGTCTCATACTGACATTATGTTCAGTCTACCCTCCTGTCCCTTGTGACCAAAACCAGGTGGCTTGTCCTCACGTAAGGACAAGTATTTTAAGTCTCGATAATCTTATCTTACACACAGGCTATGTACACAAACCCAGATTTTCTTAATGGTCTTTTTTAAGTTTTAGATTTTGGCTACATTACTTAAGAATAGCACATTGGAAACTTGCATGGCAGGATCTACCAAGACAGATTTGTTCATCAAGAACAAAATTCAAAGCACAGTCAAATGCAGTTGATGATCTGGAATCGGGGTATGGGATTCACTGGTAAAGAACCTTCAAAATCCACCAATTGCAGCTTACCCGGCTCTGTGTTTGAGCTTTTTATCTAGGATCCCATCTCTGGAAACAAGTTTATTAAATACCAAAATGCCAATCACCATGTTGACCTGTCAAACAGAAACAAAGGTTGACCTTTCAATGATAATGAAGGGAATCGGGTCCCTGTTTCTCCTGAAAACCCTCCTTTACAGACTCCCACTAGGAGGCCCTTCTCCAATATGCATAAGTATACAAAGGAATGTGGAACAATATAACAGTGGTGTGTTACTCTCAAGTTTTAAAGTGCAGTAGGTACATTTTATTTCCCCGTTTTGTAGTTAACACTGAGTACATGAACATTCAATTGCCTAACTTTTCATTGGTGCCATACTATGCCAATCTGGCATTCTTCTTTCTGAGTCACCCCTGAATAAAGTCTGTTGGCTAAATGAGTTTCACCCTATGCCTGAGAGTCAAAAGATTTTGAGTCTCACAGTGTGAGGCTGCCAAAGGTGCTAAGGACTAGTCATTGCCCCCAGCAGGGAGAACAGAATGCCTAATTTCCTACTTCTCCTGTGGGGTGGACAGCATTTTGGTGCACAGTTCTTTTCAAGACAAAGGAGAAAGCCTGTTCAACTCACCAGGATCCTTTAAAAGATGGATGCTAATACCACTTCCCATAATGTGCCTTATTCAACAGGTCTCAGCATTGCTAAGGCAGGTGAAATGAAATCACATACGTTTCTCTCTTAAGCAAAATAGTAAAAAGCTGCTGAGACAGCTGTGGTCTATTTGTAGCAGCCCATCATGAGGCACACCCAAGGTTTGTAACCTACTCACTTCCTGATCAAGGAATCCAGCTCCGCGCTGAAACCAAGATAATCAAGGAAAAACGCTTCTTCTTTTTGCCTTCCTACCCCTGACCCTCCACCATCAACAGAATCTTGGTGCAAATAGGTGAAGACTATATTGAAACTAGTTTTTCACAAGCAGGATGACTAGTTAAGAAAAAAAAAAAAACACAAAAATTCTACTTCCTTCAATACACTTTGGCCAAATGAAATATAAAGTTGAAATTTGTTCAACTGCTGGTGTAGGAAAGATCCAAAGCACCTGTTAGGAAGGACTTAGGAAGTGTCACTCTCATAACTTCCTGACAAGATACCATTTAATCAAGGGTCTGATCTTCTCATTATCTTAACTAAGAGAAAAAGTGTATTTCATGGATTCTATTAATTTCCAATTTAATCATGGGGAGATTCATCACCACCCCAAAACACACAATTTGGTCTTTCAAGTATACACAAACCCTTTGTTTCTTCATTTTAAGGTCATGTATATATTAACCTAGTAATTTAGGGATATAATTCCAGTGATTAAATAAAAATTCAATGCATCAGACAAAAATGTATCTAACAGTTCCAGTTTCCCTATGCTCTTCTTTAACACCCATGCCTAGATTTTGTTTTTCTTGTGAAATATTAATAGTTTCTGCTCTCTGTTATAGTTTAGTGGAGAGCAAATTTTAAAGGAAGAAAAAGTCACATTGAGTTATTAAGAAAGATGTTGCTAGCTTCCAATTTATTGAATGAGTTGTTCAATAAACCAAAGGGATCCAACTGCATAGCATATGAATCTTTGTATTTAATTCAGACCATTTCTTTACTCTCTTAGATTTTCCAAAGACTTATTGGACAAGAAAGATTTGTAATCAATAAATTCAGAGAGAGAGAAAGGCAAATTGGTAGGAATTTTTCATGTTCCTATAATTAAACACGTATAGGAATTATTTTGTAATTCCAAAGAGAAAAATTTTAAATCCTCATGCACAATATATGGCAGGGATTCTCAAGTAGGGGTGGTTTTTACGCCCAGAAATATTGGGAAATGTCTGGTTTAAATGAATATTTCTGATTGTTCAACTGGGGGTCGGGTACTATTGGTATCTAGTAGGTAGAGGCCAGGGAGGCTGCTGAACACCCTAAAACACACAAGACAGCCCCACAACAAAGAAATAGCTGATCTGAAATGTCTGCAGACTAAGGTTGGGAAACTCTGGTACAGGAATATATACATTTGCTCATTGATATTTGGTAGCAGCAGCAGTTATGAAGATTAAGAGATCTTAATAACTATGTAGATCAAACAGAATAGTATAAAGGTGAAAAGATCATAGATGAAATTCTACACATTAAAGAAGACTTTGTCAAAACTTACTCAAACACTTCACAAATAAGAAATTACTGTGAGAGAAATCCCATACTCCCACATTTTATATTCTTCAGTCTTCAAGATAAGAATATTTTAGAGTAATAAAGGACTGAATGGCAGTTGATATTCAAATTTCAATAACAATTCATTGAACTTTAAAATTCAATGAATTTTAGTCTTCCTTGGCTAAGAAAACAAAAGAAGGTGATTTTGACGTTTACCAGGACAACGGCAGCTGCAGGTCCTACAAACGCGTAGAGTAGTCCTCCTTCAAGAGAGAGCCAGCAGCTGGAAATAACATCAGATAGAAACTAACAAACATTAGTGATAAGTGTCAGCCATGGAGTGTGATGCAAATAACTTAAATAACACATTTAGCCTTGGAATTTTGGCAAGTTTCAAAGCTTTCTAATACACACACACACACACAGAAAGCAAAGATGTGGAAGAAGCTAAAATTAGAGCAATTCATGAGTGAGAAATGACATATACCTCTCATGGAAAAAAACTTTTATCATAAGGCCTTTCAGACAGTTAAAGCATTTTAGAGAAATTACTCTTGCTGTGAGATTTTTATATTGACTTCCAGTACAAAGGTGACTATTAAGTTTTGTAAAATGCTGCTTTCTATCCGTTATAGAATCTTTCCAATATCCTTTTAAGCAAGAACAGTGTGTTTTTAGAGTCAGACATGCCATTTACCCAATCCTCCTTGAGGCCATTGAGATACTGGGCGAAACTGACTTAAAAGCCATCATTACAGCAAACAGGTAATTTACAGTTTCCACGATTTTTTCTCTTCTAGTTTTACTTTTTCCCTAAACTACTGAGAAAATTCACTAAAGATAAGCTTTGATTATTAAATTAACCAAGAGATATAGGTTTGCATTGATAGGAACGTGGTAACCCATTTATATAAAAACATTTCATTCTCTCACAGCATAGGTACCTGAGGAGGGCATGGGGCTCATAATGGAGGTTTTGTGAGGTTTCATGAAGAAATGGGAAAGTGAAATAAGAATTCTGAACAATGCTGCAGCATTGATACCCTAACCTCTCTTCATCTGCACGTGCAAAATCCAGGAGAGTCAAAGGAGGAAAGCATGAGGGACCTACTAGTCACTGCTGATGTAAAGGGTCATGCCCACCATTTCACCCACCTTTTCAATGTTAATTTCAGTCCACAGAATTGACATGCTGCTTTCAAAATTAACAACAATTTAATAATAACTTGTTCGATATTTTTTCTCACAATAAACTTCTATATTGGTTGTGGTGGTGCTTACATGACTTTGGCATTTGTTAAAACTCACAGAACTCTAAACCTAATAGGGTAAATGTTACTCTATGTAAATTATACCCCAATTAACATTTTTAATCTAGAAATTATATATATATAAGCATTCAAAGTCTACATTTAGTTACTGTTCTTTACCATACAGCGTATGGATAAAATTCTGCTTTCCCACTTTGAACCTGACAATTTAATGTTAATTTTTAAAAATGAAATACCTGGAGAAAAAAGTCCTTCATCTGATAGAACACTTCAGTTTGCCGTTTGAGATTGCTACTAAATTTCTACTATGGTTTTGTGTAAATTAATCTTCAAGCTGATAACATTACTCATTGTACTGTATTTGGTTTTAATCAAAAGCTCCTTGAAATTTGGAATCATATCATCCATAATCCTACTTCTTTCCCCACCCCCAATACAATGCCTTTCAAAGACCAGATTCATACCAAAGGCGTCACTGATGATTTATTTAACTACAAACATGATTGATCACTGTGGATAGACTTACTAGTGATCAGTGCCATATCCTTTCGTCCTGGTGAAGCCTACTGATGTGGCCACTACTAATGCTGGTAAACCTGTAAGAAAAACATTGTCACACTTCACACTACGCCACAACCACCGTGCATACTGGCTCAAGAAAAGGTAGGACAAACTCGAATACTTAAATCAGAGGAATAGCTATAGATGAATCACTTCATAAGGTATGTCTCCATTACAAAATTTCTTTCAACTACAAAACTATGAGAGTGACAGCTGGGTTTTTAACTCAGTGCACTTTCTCTGATGTTGCTAGGTTACCACCACATTTGACATGAGTTTAAAAGAAACTAATAACAGAGATTTAGTATATCTTTTAAGTTATTTTTTCCCCCTAGGGGTTCACACTGTTATAAAGAAAAATTATAGTTATAAAATGAGAAAGGCAAAAAAAAAAAAAAAAGGATATCCTGGTGTGATAGAATATCACAGAAGTAGAACATTCAGTTGACCACATATTGATTCACAACCAAAGTGAATCTTATCACTTAACTCCTTATGTTTTACTTATAATAAGAATGTAGGAACAGGATTAAGGGCCCTAATTAATTACTTCTGTGCTTTCTGATTATTCCCCTTTAATAATCCTGAATGAAGATCAGAAAATATATGCCAGTTTCACAGACCTCTGGATAGGTATCACTCCATGCATTACTCAGTTCCTCTTGGAATTCACTTGCCTGCATACCTGCACCAATTTTGACCTAACATCTTTTAGTTATGTCTATATGAATCTACCTTACTCAAGTTCAATGGAACCTCCCTATGTTTTGGTAAAGAGAGCTTAGTCTAATCTATGTTGTTTATATTCTTTTTTTTAAGTTTTGGCCATGCCTTCTTTTCTGAAAGACCATGATTGTAAAATCTATTATCTAACTACCTTCTTGTATTCTCTCCATCCACCTTTTTTTTCTCCCTATCATTTTCCCTCCTTCCTGCTAGTGTCTTCCGAGTCTTTTTAAGTGGCATCATATTTCTTCATGAGATTTAATCACAAGAACGATGAAGAGCACTTCAAGAGACACACCATATTTTTAAACAAATACTGTAATAAAAGGGTAATGGGTAATATGCTAATTAGACCGGACATCTTTCAGACGTCCTTCCTGACCAAGCCGGGCCTGAGGGAAGCCAGTCCAGGTCCCAGGTGCCTGCGAATGGCCTGAGGGAAGCCAACCCGGGTCCTGGGTGCCTGCCAGCAGCTGGAGGAGGGAAGGAGCCCGGGTCCCGGGTGCTGGAGGGAAGCCTGTGCTGGCAGCTGGGGAAAGGAAGGCTTACTCTTGCATGAATTTTCGTGCATCGGGCCTCTAGTATATAAATAATTAAATCATGATATGCCATGTCATTAGTTGACTTTTTTAATTAACTAGAAAAATTTCATTAGGAAAAAACATTCTCTTGGGTCATAGCTGAAGAATTAATATTCTTCATCCTATACAATTTAGATTTTTAAATGATTTTCTAAATTTACTTTGACTTAATAAAACTAGTATGCCACCATTCTGCCCATTCACAGACTTCCTGATAATTTAGCACGATCAGTTTAGCACTTTTGTTACCCAGAGTCATTTAATACTACCTGTAAACTTGGAGACCAGCTGAAACCTACCCTTAAGATCTTTGGTAATGCTATTAAATAAGGTAGTTGCCAATCCTAACAATCGCCACTTAAAGGAAAGTCTTCTTAACTACAACCTACATGTCTTGGATCTATGGTACTAGTTGATGAAAAAATTCAATACCAGTCCAACTTTGAAAGGCCTTTGACATGAAATCCAGACAAAAATTTTATGAAAGTGTAAGTAGAATACATTTTCTAATTTCTTAATGGCATTCTCATTTATTCTATTAGGACAAAGAGCCTGAATACATTTATCAGACATGACAGACCCTTACTGAAACCTGATGGATAATCCTTAAGTCTTCTTGATCCTATTTTTCCCAGCATGAATTATTCTGGTAATGTAATAAATCCACTTATTTGTAGTTTTCCAGGCTCCCTCAAGCAACCCATTCTCCAGTCTCTGGTATATTCAGTATTTGTTGTATATTTGGTTCCAAGTTCTCAGTGTTTTTAGTGTAAGTCTTTTCAAACTCAAAGCAAACATCTTGGGATTTTTCTAAAACTGGTTTCTTAAACTAAACAAATTAATAAATTTTAATTAAACATTAGAATTGACCCTATGAAATGCACAGACTTTCAAGATGTCTAATTCATAAGACAATTTAAGAAAAAAAATTTCCTATTAAAGATGGGCAAAGAATTAATTAATTCTCAGTTTGTCAACAATTCTGCTTTTCCTTTGAGGCCCCAACTGACTATACATGAGGTTTCATTCAATCTCTAAGTGGGTTTTTCCCCGTGAGGTGAATAGCTGTAGTCTTTAATAGTTCTGAGTGCTCTTGGAATGAATTCCTCAGAGTTTTCTTGTGGGACGTACTTGACTAGTGTACATGACCTTGAGCCCTGAACATTTTAAAAGATTTTGCACTTTCAGAACATATCAGCATAGAACACTGCTTTTCTCAGCCTGTAGATACCTCAGGCCTCATCTTATACTACTCACTGATGATTACCAGCTATCTATGTAGTCATCCAATATGTATTCCTTGTTAAAGTTCCAAATGCCTAAAGAATGTTAAAAAATGGCCAACTTCATATATTTCCACTTCCATATATCAAATTACGTACAAATTAAAGTAGTCTTAGAATAATTATACTCTATTGCTTTATTATATAAGTATTCAAAGTCATCATAACAAGATCACAGAAGGGTTTATTATCATGCTTACCCCATCCAAGGCACAAAAAGCGTTTCCTTATAAGCCGTGTTCTGATTTTTCCAGTTACAGCCATATATGACTGCCAAGCCTCCGTCAAAACCCAACAGAATGAAGCCAAGAAGAAAAAGTGCAAAAATGCAGTGGTGGTTGTACAGATGCTCTGTGGAAACAAAAAAGACCCATGGTGATTATGGAGGGAATCATGTGTTCGTCAGGGGACTGTGAATCATTCCAATGCATTACTTTTATTTCAAATATCTACCTCCCCTCTGTGACAGAGTAATTATTTACAGAAATTAGAAACCCTGTGGTCTTTATGTATATAGTATGCATGATTAAAAAAAATTCTGTGTGTGTGTGTTCAATTTTTTATGAGAAGAAGCCTAAATGTAAATTTAAACTCCGGGGAAATTAAAATTACTGCTTTACTTGAATGTTTTCTTGAAATATAATTATGGAAATGGTCCTTTCTTTGGTTTAATTTAAGTTACAGACATCTCACATAATTCTTTGGGCTACATTCTTTATCCTTCTTTTTTGGCTGATAATTCTTTGTTGTTTTATCTGCGTGGAAGTTAAGATTACATAGCAACAGCCTTTGAAAAGGAAAAATTACTTTGCTTTTATACAAGTGTGATATTCAAGGTATAAGAACAAAGCATAAAATGGTTTGGCTAATGGCCTAGTACAAAATAACATGTATTTTAAAGCACTTAATACATTCTCTATGTCATTACATTTACATTACAATGTGTGTCTTAATCAAATCATTTTGAAAAGCTAATCTAGTCACTGGCAGTACACGGTCATGATTTCACAGATATTTTATGCAACTTAATCCCTCTGAATGTGCCAACCATTAGTTATTTGTGACTTGTCTGCAAAGATGAGCAACTTCATTTTGGTAAAGGTGGCTACTTATTTCACTATTGGTATAATTTCTTTGTGTAAATCTTGTTATAAAGCAAGTCTTTATAAACCAGAACTAGTAACCAAACTAATTTTCCCTTTGTCAGTTTCAGTCTTACTGTTTCTAAAAACTGAAGAGAGTAAAACCCAGTAGAACTAGAAAAAAATAAAAACTCATAGTAAAGAAATAAAAATACAACCTTCATCCTCTCACTTTCACTCCACACTGCTAAAGCAGAATTATCTTTTTAAAATTTAGGTCCAAATTATTCACATTATTTGCTTATTCTGGTGAAATTCGCCAGATGTTAATTTAGCTTTCCAATTCTTTTAATCCTATATAAAGAAATGTATCATATTCATCTCGCCAGATTGTTTTAATACTGAAGGATAATGTATAGAAGCTGAGTAGCACTGCGGTAGGCATTTAGCAAGTACCCAACTGACTATGACTATAATTATCATCATTTTTAATAGTACTAACAAAGGAGTTACCATTTTTTCAGTTTGCAATTTCTTTTTTCATACAGGACTTAAACCTACTTAGTACTTATGTTTATTCTTACAAAGATGATAACTCAGTATGATGAAGTATTGATTCCTAGCACCCTCTTCCTCACACCTTTACTCCTGTTTCAGGCATAATGTAGTAGCTTTAACCAACTGAGAGTCCCGCTATATGTGAGACATTGAGGTTTAAATTTAAATATCTACAGGATGACTACTTTGCTCATTCCTGATCTACAGTAGCTGATCTCAATTTGAATTTCAAAGACCTCTTCCATTCAATATCTGAAAACTAGTTATACTTTCTAATTCACGTGCTATTTCCTTCCACCAGTTTATCTAAATTGTGTGGGCTAACAAACCTATTCCTTCTCTATTTTTAAACTATCAATATAGGGTTATAAAAAACAGTGTAAAATGTTGAAATGTTAAGTAATAATTGCTGGAAGTCTTGCAATTTTATGATAACAAAATGCTCAAAGTCTCAATACAGAGACTTCTAATTTGCTTTCTATATATGATGTTTCCTGATACTTTAATTCTAATACAAATTGAAATACATGGAATTGGGGGATACTGACATTTATTTCAATAAATTCATGTCTCTCTGGACAACAATGGCTACAACGTGTGTGGGAAAATATATAGTAACTATATAAGAAAAACCCATTTCGATGGGTAACAGCATTTTACTATGGTCAGATGAATATTCATAAAGTCTTGAAATTGCTCCAAGTATGCAGGTAGACTATTTCAACCCAAGGCATGTATGGATTATAAAGGTTTAAAACCACAAAACTAATCTTACATGAAGAGTGTACCAAAATCTAAGATCCTGAGAAAGAAAACAAGCTATATTTTGCTTCATCATCATGTGAAGAATCAGTATAAAATCAGATACTCCACCTAAAGAAATGCACACTGATTTGTCTACTAACATGTTATATTTGCTAGACTATTGTCACCTGTCCTGTTCTTGTTACCACTGGCCCTACTGTCATGGCCTCCATAGTTAACAGCTTCTCACTCTCCGTGTGTCTGTTCTTTAATCACACCACAGCCAGGTCTTCACAGCTCACCATACCAAATATGAGATTTATGAACACCTCAAGCTCATCATCCTATGCTTCTGCTCCACCTGCTTTGTCAAATCCCAATCTGGTCCTGCTTTATAGCCAATGAGTGTGATTAACAAATATTGCACAACTTGAAAAGGTTTTTAAATTGGAAAACCGAGCACTGTTTATACCTCTCACCCTTGCGTATACCCTTCACTCCAAATCCTTAGAGACCACAGGAAAGGTTGCATAAGATAACTGGAAAGAAAAGTATAATCTGTGGTAGACCAGACACTGTCAGAAATGCCTAAAAAACAGAAAGCAGATGAGCTCCCATTGGAGGATACCACAACACAAAGCTAGATATTGGGAGCACAGATTAAGACATGGAAAGTGGGAGATTTAAGATACATAGATGACACAGAGGTCCTAAAATTGGTTTAAAAGTACTTCCAGAAGTATGAAATAGAGGAAACTGGGGGGAAAGGCAGCATTTAAGGAAATACTATGGGAAATTTTCTTAGGACTTCAAAGATCCTCTTGGCTAGAGGTTAAATTAAAGATGAAACACACACATACCCAAACACCCCCTCTAGATATATTGTGACAAAATTTGTGAACATCAAGAATAAAGAGAAAAATCTTAAAAAGCTGTCCAAGTCAAAAGAAATAAGACATCGGACTCCATGTGAGCAACCCAGGATACAAGACAATAGAATAGTATCTTTAACATTCTAAAGAAAAAAATAACTTTAAAGATAGAATTCTATACCCAGCCAAACTATTATTTGAGAGGCAGAAATAAAGACATTTTTAGAATCAAAAGGAACTTTGATGTTTACTATCTCAAGATTCTGTCTGAAAGAACTGCTGGACAATATAAACCAATATTAATCAGAAGAAATCCAGGAGGAAGGAATGAGATAAAAAAAAAAGTAAAAGAAGTAATGGGGAGCAAAGGAATAAAATACAATAAGTACAAATAAATGTTCACTATTTTAAAAATATGCAAATATTAATATTTACATTTTAAAATATAACCAGTTGGACATAAATACTAAAATAATATTAATGAGGGTTAAAAGGTGGGAGAGATGAAAGTTACCAGGGAGCAGGGGAAAATGAAAGTATGCTGAGCCTCTTTTTTTTGTTCTCAGGAATATTAGAGATACTGGTTAACTCTAGATGTTAGAAAGAAATGTTTGCTCATTTATGTTAACAATGTTTGCCTGCCTTTGCCTACCTTAACACTAGCCTTATGTAGAAAATGAAAATAGGCTATTTAAAGAAATCAGAAGAAATTTAATAAAGATAAAAGCGGAAATTAACAAAATAGAAAATTTTAAAAAACTTTAAAATTGATCTATAAAATCCAAGCTGATTTCAAAGGCTAATAAATGCCAGGTGGGTACTGATAATACCAAGGGGAGCCCTTTTTGAATTGTATGATTGTCTTACCACTATGCTGTCCACCTAAAATTAATATAAAATAATAATAAATGTAAACTGTAATTGAAAAAAGAGATTTATTTTTATTTTATGTTCTCTTTCTCCCAAGTACCCTACTAGATTTCATTTCTTAGCCCTGTGCAGGTAGGGAAGCATGTCACTGAGTTCTGGCCAAAGGTATATGGGTATCATTGATGTACACCACTTCTAGGTTATTCCCATAAAATGACCTATGAAGTCCTCCATGCTTTTACTCTTTCCTGATTAGTATCCAAACACAAAGCTTCAGTTAGGAGCTCTGAGGCCCCAGAAGACATTAAAGCCCCAAGATGAAAGAAATTTGTGACACTAGATGCACATATTAACTCTAGTTGCCACACATTAGACTGTGACATGAGCAAGAAATACTCTCATACCATATAAAGCCAAAAAAATAAATGTCACTTTGAAGTAAAAAAGGTAGGTAATAATAATGTTATTATTTTGTAAATCAATCAAAATTATAACTAATGTTTGTCAGATTGGCAAAAAATATATTTTTTAATGTGCCACCGAATTTTAGTAATTAGTTTATGTGTGCCATGAGATAAACAAAGGTTGAAAATCACTATATTAATTGAATTTTATAACTAGCCCTGGTGCCAGGGACACTGTATCAGTTTTCATTGAAATGTCATTTTAAAAAAAATTGTTTGAGGACAAATCAGAAAAAAAGAAACAGGACTAGGGTGAAAAAAAGTTTATCCATAATGAAAAAAGCATTTTTTATTTGTAGTAAGAACTATGCCTTCATCTTGAGCCAAAGGGCCTCAAAAAGTTCCAGGCCTCAAAAAAATGAAGGCAGGATGAGCTAAAGAAAATCTGGTTTTAGAAACAACAGCTGCTTATAAAGACTCTAGAGGCCCAGTGCATGAAATTTGTGCACTCAGAGTAGGTCCTCACCCCAGTCTGTACCCTCTCACAGTCCAGGAGCACTCGGTGGATGTCCAACTGATGGTTTAGGCCCGCTCCCCACGGGAGAGGCTCCTGCCACTACCGCTGTACTTGCCAGCAGTGAGCCTGGCTCAGGGCTTCTGGCTGGGTGGTGTTTCCCCTGTGGGAGTGGACTGACCACCAGGGGCAGCTCCTGCATTGAGCATCTGCCCCTTGATGGTCAGTGCATGTCATAGCAATCAGTTGTTCCGCTGCTTGGTCAATTTTCATATTAGCCTTTTATTATATAGGACTAGTGGCCCGG